TGGTGCCAATCTGCATAACCTTCACCATCCAATTTACCTTTTGAAATCCCTTTTCTAAACACTTTACAATAGAAACAAAATACCCTGTCTAGCTCTTTCGAATATACTAGCCATTCTCTATCACACTTCTCCAAATTTGGTAAAGTTCTTGTATATAAAGCTGCAGAAAACCGGCTACCATATTTATCGTAGGGACCATGCATAATACTATTATCTCTTTTAGGACCTTTCTGGACCAAAAGTTTAATTTCCTCAGAATTAAGTTTTTCCCAGCTTCTTGGATCATATATATATCAACAAGCTCTTTAACGGGCTCTTGCTCTTCTACTTCTATATGCTCTTGCTCTTCAACATGCTCTTCAATGTGCTCTTTAATGTGCTCTTCAATGTGCTCTTCAACATGCTCTTCAATAGGTTGTCTATGGATAAACTTATCTAGAGTACTAGCATAGCCTTTCTCTTTTCTTCATCTAGTTTTTTTTTTTTTTTTTTTTTTTTTTTTTTTTTTTTTTTTTTTTTACGTTTTTGACTACCGGATGGTTGTTTAGACTCCATCTCTACAAGTTTACAAACAATAAACATAATTTGATTTTTTAAACACCATGGTGTCTGAATTTCAAATTTCTGATAAATAATTATACAATATACATAATCTCATAATTTAATTTCTGTTTCTAATAATCTATTTCAAAATCATTCATTGATTTCATCCAACATTGTGAATCATTCAATCAGATTTCAATATGATAATATGACATAATGACAATACAAGATAGTGATAAACAATTAAACATTCATGAATAACATTCAAGAATCTAAAAAATTAAACAGTTAAAAGATAAACAGTTAAACAATTACACAATTAAACATACCATGAATATGAAAAATTGATAATATATTTAATCTATAATTCATTCAATCATTCAACTGATTCAAGTATGCAATTGAATTGACAATTATAATTTACAAATCATAATCCTTAATTCCTTATTCCTCATTCCTTAATTTCTCATAATCTATTACATTACCAACAATCAAGAATGAAAAAGAAGAATCATTGATAAAGTGAATAAGTGATCGACCCTCACCTAGAATAGTAGAATCTGTTGTATCGGAGGATTGCTATTGCTGCAATCGATTTTTTTTAAGATGTTGCTGGTTTGCTGCAATCGATCGCTGCTTCGTGCGCTTTTGTCTTTGGTTTGGCGCTGTGCCTCACTGCTGCTGTTGGATTGCTTGGGCTGAAACGGACACACCATAATTTTTTTTTTGGGCCCCTTCAAATTTTGGGCCCTGTTCCCATGTACATATTGCACCTGCCTTAACCCCGACCTATCGATTTTGGTACTTATTTCAAGGTTCTTAACCAAAATTTATATGAAACGTTGAATAATGACCATTGGAAAATGTTTCAGTTTTTGATCAAAGACAGTAAAAATCAAAAAACAACACAAGTTAATTTACGCTTATAATTAAAACATGTTTTTAATAATGTTAAAATTATGATTGTACTTATATATAATACAAAAACCAAATGAAAATTCATTCATTTGCAAAAAACTAACAAAAAATGATCATGGATTCGTTCCATTCCAAACTACAAGCAGACCCTTATAGTTATTCCTTTGAACTTTTTTTTTATTATTATCAAAAAAGACTGATCTAATTGTTGGTGAATTGATTTAAATTTAGGACATGTTTGACACGGAGCTTTTGGAAGCGTTTGAGAGGTTCTAGTTTTTAGCTTTTGACAAAACCCTATTGTTTAAAAAAAAAGCTTTGTTTGATAGTACGGGCGTTTAACTTTTAGTTTAAACAAAACGCTCCAAATCTAAAAGCTACTTCATGTAGCGTTTAACAAAACGCTATTGAACTTTTGAAATCAATTTCCATAATTACCCTTAAAAATATATTTATATATTTATTTATTTTTAATCAATTGTCCTTTTATGTAATTTTATATATTTCAAAAGCTTCCAGCTACTTTTCCCAAACACTAATATAACAAGTAAAAGCTACAGCTTCTCGCTACCAGCTACCCGCTACACGCTACCCGCTATCCGCTTCAAGCTAACAGCTACCCGCTATCCGCTTCCAGCTAATAGCTACCCGCTATCCGCTTCTAGCTAACAGCTAACAGCTACCAGGGCCGGTTATTAAGAGGGGCAAGATGGGCATATGAACAGGGCCCGTTTTTTAAGGGGGCCCATTTTTTTAGTATTATATTGAGGATCAGGCCCAAATACTCTCTTATCGATCAGTTGTAAAAGGCATAAGCGATCATTCAAGCGTAGGTGATTAATCGATTACGAAAACTCACTCGATAATACGCTGATCCATTGCAGTCCTACTAATCAGGTAATCGATTTCAACCTAACATTAGTCTTCTTTCTTTTTAATTTTACATTGATGACGATAAACAGAACACCACCACGTCTTCCTCTTTGTTCCTTATTTTGATTGTAGAAAAATAAAAATATAAAGAAAATTAACGGTTTAAATTCCAAGTAATTTTAAAATAGAAAAACATTGAATTTGGGTATGTCGTAATGCTTTCTGGTAGTGTTCTATCAGAGGAATTCACGACCAGGTTTCTTTGGATAAGTTCATTGAATTTTAGTGTTATTCCCATATATGATAATTGTATTGTTGTACAAATTAATAGAAATATGAAAACTATGTTTTAAAATTTAAGTGGTTCAAACTTGTTGAACAACGCATGCTACTTAAATGTTGAATACTTTAATGACTTTTTTGCTTCATGAGGGCCTAATCTATATGCACTATAGATGTTTGATGTTTTGCCTCATAGAATTGTCTCTATAGTCATAAAATGATATAATGAAATACATAAAATGAACAAAGAAAGAGTGTATATACCTAGTTTAATTGGCACTACATACCAATTTTTTTTCTTGCTTGTTCACAGTTTGAAGGAGGGCTGAACCAAAATGTATTATATGCCTTGAAATTGATTAAAGAATGACCACTAGTCATTGCCTATTATTTGAGCAAATTTGTCATTTTTTCCATATATATTTGCTAGGTTAGTTGCCAATTTTCAAACCATGTCTTTTTCTTATGGTAGATGTATGGTATGTATGGACCTACCAACTTGGAGAACATTTTTGGGAATTTTGTAACTGAATTGTGAACGGGTATAGAATGGTAGAAGAGCTTCACGAGTCTTTGGTTAGCTGTTTTGATATGTAATTACTTATTAAAATACTATGATTTTGCTATGTTTATTTCTGTAAAGTTTATTGTCGTTCGAAAAAAAATTTAGTTTATATAATTTAAATCGTTGCACGTTAGGCCTAAGGGCCTTTTTTTACTGGCTCGTCCTGGGCATTTGAATCCTCAGGACCGGCCCTGACAGCTATTTTTGCCAAACACGCCCTTAAGCTGGTGTGACCACCGTTATAAGAGTTATAGATTGATTACTATTTACATTTAAAATTAAACCATTTTTGTTAAAAAAATCTAATAGAAGGTAATTTTATTTGATTGACTTTATAGATAGGTACATGATATTTTCAAACATTGGCGAGGTGGCATCCGTATTTTTTACTGCTGCTATCTCGTCATCAGATTATACGTCGGAATCTTCATCATATGGTTCACTCGCAATTCCTTCTTCGGAATCGACCACACTCTTGTCACCTACTCCCAGCTTTCAAACGGGGACCAATGCAATTCCTGGCGGAATTTCACCGTCTCACCTTTCACAGCCGGAGACCGGGTTTTCAATTCCCATTCCGACCCTTGCGATTACTTCCGGAATGGAAAAATCAAAGCCATGACTCTTTCCCTTTCCGTGCTTGTGGCGATTGAGATGTTTAATTCCTTAATTGATGAGATTTTGAAGCTTGTTGGTAGGTGGGATAACCGGGCTGATGATGTCTCAAAGTCTTCAAAGCACAAGGCAGAATAAATCTTTTGGAAAAAAACATTTTTGATAGAAATTAATTAGTCAATTAGGAGAGCTTTTTTTTTTTTTTTTTTTTTTCCTATTCATGTTAATTTTCAGAGTTTTAGCAGAGACAATTTTTGGCGCCAAATCTAAAATATATTAATGTATGTTTTACATATCGGCTAGTAGAATGTATGCAGAACAAAAAGGAATCTTAAGTTATCAATTAGTGATGGATGATCCCGACTACTAAATAACAGGAGACTCGGTCCATATATCCAAATAATCGAATAAGACAAGCTTTTTGGTTTGTATGATATGAAAGAATTTAAATGCAAGAATTTAATTATCACATTTCCTTTTCTATTAAAAATGTAAAGTGTTGTCATAAATCTTTCAAAACAAAAGTACATTCTTCCTAACACTAAATACATTCAAATTTATTTTGATAGATTTACAAAGTATTCATTTAAAAATCTTTAGGTTTTACATACATGAATCATGATAATTTTAACACTTTCAGCAAGCAACATGACCCTTAATTAAGAAATAGATGGTACCCACAAATACAAATATATTGTATATCCCTTGGGGTTTTGATTTGAGCTCTTGTTGGTGGAATCTTTTATTTTAAAACAATTTCGTATCTTGTTCCGTATCCAATCTGACATGTTCTTATTTGAAGAAAAAGTCATTAGAAAACATTCAATATTGTTCTCGTCTAACAGAATGTTGACAAAATGTACCAACTCCCCTATCGACCAAAAGGAAACACTCGAGGTCCCAAACACAACTAGTATATAGCTCGATGCATATGCATGGATGACTGCCATTGTCGTTTTCATATAAAACAGATAGCAAAGCCCAAAAGAAAAGTAAAATATCTTATTACAAATGCTTAGAATATTGCAGGCAGTATAATTTACTCTAAAGAGCCAAAAAGACCATGAATTTAAGTTCATGTTTCATGCAAAATACTGCATCTTACGTGTGGTTTAGTTTGAAAAAGTCTCTGAGGAATTCTGCTGGAAATTAGTATTTATACACGAGCCAGAAAGCCGATGAGGACACACATACAGAGCTAGCCATGAGCCATTGGAAGCTTTTTCTCGCTTTAATCATTCTACATGCTCATGGAGATCATATCTTCACAGGAGCTGTTGTTTTTCGTGAGTACATAGGAGCTAACTTTGAAAATGTTCGATTTTCCGATGTACCCATAAACCCTAATATCCAGGTCCATTTCATCCTCTCTTTTGCCATTGATTACACCCTTGGATCCTCCCCCACACCGACCAACGGAAAGTTTAATATCTTCTGGGATTCCGACAATCTCAGCCCCTCTCAGGTTCTTTCAATCAAACGCCAACATTCGAATGTTAAAGTTGCGTTAAGCATTGGAGGGGACAGTGTTGGAAGTCGTTCTGTTAATTTCACTGCTTTCTCGATAGATTCATGGGTATCTAACGCTGTTTCTTCCCTCACTCGTGTTATAAAACAGTATCATTTAGATGGAATCGATATCGATTATGAGCATTTCGATGCTACACCTACCATCTTCGCACAGTGCATAGGACGACTTGTGACGACTCTAAAAAACAATCGAGTCATTTCATTTGCTTCAATTGCTCCATTCGATGATGGCGAAGTTCAGAGGCATTACTTAGCTCTATGGAGGAGTTATGCACGTGTTTTCGACTACGTCAATTTCCAGTTTTATGCTTACGACAGAGGCACCACTGTGGCTCAGTTTCTGAGGTTCTTTGATGCGCAGGCGTCTAATTATGATGGTCGTAAGTTGTTAGTCAGCTTTAGCACTGATTCGAGTGGCGGCTTAAAACCAGACAAGGGGTTCTTTACGGCGTGCCAGAATCTTAAGAGTAAGGGAAAACTGAACGGCATCTTTGTTTGGTCTGCAGATGACTCGAAAGCCAGTGGATTCAGGTTCGAGAGACAATCACAAGCATTGTTAGCAAAATCTTATAAGTAGAAGGCATATTAGAGTGATCATGGATGCTTTTGAACTAGAATTATAGTTAGGTTGCAATATTTACTTGTTATTGGAAAGATCATGTACTGATCAGCAGTGTAGTTAATGTGTATGTCTCTTTTAAGTGTTCATACAGCTCCTATCCTCCATGTCATCCAATGTATTCAACACCATGTTCGTAGTGTCGTTGAAATAATGTGTTATTCTTGGGATGCCTTTTGGTGAGGGCGGGTCCAAAGATATAGTGGGCCCAATGTGTTATTTTTTGGTGAGGGCGGGTCCAAAGATATAGTGGGTCCAGGGCGAAAAGAAAAAAATGGCCCCAAAGTCATATATATATATATATATAGTAAAAATTAAATAGAAAATACACACAGTGTTATAAAATTCACTATTAATATTAAAAAAATATAAATATGTCAAAACATTACAAAAAAAACTAATTTAAAGAAAAATATTTCTCATAACATTTTTAGATAAGTTAGTTTTTTTTTTATATAATTATACTATATATACTCTAGAAATTTTGGGCCTCTTAGAGGCATGGGTCCTGGGCGACCGCCCGGGTTGCCCACCGTCAGGACCGGGCCTGCTTTTGGTCCATTGAAAATTCGCTTTCCACGACGTCTTCAAGAAATATGATGGAAAAGCACAAACATAATTAAGCGTCTATGTCTTAAGGATTACCGAAAACAAACTGGGGGCGGAAATCACTTGTTTATTTCATTTAACTTTAAACGTTACCTTAATTATTCAAAATAAATAAAAAACATATATATTATACACACTACTAGAAAACTGATGTAATAGCTACAGCACAATCCGTAGCTATTCCGTAGCTATAAGTAAATAGCTATGGAATTGCTACGGAAAAATGTTTGTAGCATAATGGCCCGTGGGAAAATTATAGCTACGGATTAGCTACGGAATCGCCACGGAATAGCTACGGAACTTTCCGTAGCTAAAATAGCTACAGAATAGCTACGGAAATAAGTAGCTACAGATTTCCTACAGAATAGCTACGGAAATGGATACCTACGGAATAGCTACGGATCCAAATGGCTACAGAATAGCTACAGATTTACTATGGAAATATATAGCTATGGAATTGCTACGACTCACATTACCTACGGATTTTCCGTAGGTAATCCGTAGGTAATTACTTTTAATTTAAAATAAAAAAAACAACAAAAATTTATAAAAAAATCCATTTTTTTTTGTTCAAAAGATTGAAAAAACTCATTACATTAAACTAATAATAATATTGAAATTGAACCAAAAAACAAATAACATTACAATAAACCTAATAAACCTAAAAAGGTATCAAATACAAATACATATTACTAATGAACATTGTCTAATAATACATTAAATGTGCCTAATAATACACATTAAAAGTGTCAACTACAAATGTTTATTTAAATGCTTACATACACAAATTTGAGAATTATATGGTGGATTGCTTGGCAAATTACCGAGTAAGTTGAATCGATAAAGGCCGACAAGTGTTCTTCAATTTGGGTTTTGAATCATATTGTTCATGTTTCAACACACCATAATCAATGATCACAAAAAATACAAATATAGTAATGTACTTTCATTTATTTTTTTAATATAGCCATAATTAGGAACATTTTTGAAAGTACAACGTTATAAGTAAGACAAAATGAAAGTAAGATGTTATAATAAACATGTATATCTTGCATTTAACTAGCTCAAAAATAAAAACACATTTCCTTCTAATAATCGACTCCTTCATCATGTTGTTGAATCACTACAATAATTGACTCATTCATCATTTTGTCATCACTAGAAGTTGGCTACCAATACAATGATCCATAGCAAATTAGCTACGGATTAGCTACGGAGTATGCTTTCCGTTAGAATTCGGTAGCTAATCCGTAGCTAATTAGCTACGGATTAGCTACAGATTTTTCTTATTTTCAATTTTTCAGGCACCAAACGTCGTTTTTTTCGCTCCGTTTTTTTCACACCTCTATTATACATGATTATCTATATTTTCACCAATTTATAGCTATTAATAACATTTATAAAGTCGTGTGCACATACGGGATTCATTGCTCGTTTAGTGGTTTAACACTATAATGCTTATGAATACGTTCATATACATCTCACAAACACGTATACATACACATATACACGTACACATATACCACAACTCATTCAAGTATATAAATATACATATACAAACATAATCCATCACAAATTGGTGAAAAGTATAGGCATTACAATGTTAAAATGTGAAACGAGTACTCATCCCGAAGGGGCACACGATTTTATGAATGATATTAATATCTATAAGTTGGTGAAAATATAGATAATCATGTATAGTAGAGATGTGAAAAAAACTAAGCGAAGAAAACGACGTTTGGTGCCCGAAAAATCGAAAATAAGAAAAATCCGTAGCTAATCTGTAGCTACTTAGCTGCGGATTAGCTACTGAATTCTAACGGAAAGCATACGTCGTAGCTAATCCGTAGGTAATTAGTATTCGTAGGTATTCTGTAGCCATTCCGTAGCTAATTAGCTACGGAATAGCTCCGGATTAGAATCTGTAGCTATTCCGTAGCTATTCTGTAGCTAATTAGCTACAGAATAGCTACGGACTAGCATCTGTAACTATTCCGTTACTAAACTAGGGCATCCCATTCTGTAGCTGATCCGTAGCAATTCCGTAGCTAATTAGCTACGGAAATTTTCCGTAGCTATTTTCCGTAGGAAAACCCTATGTTTTCTAGAAGTGACAATGATTACTCTAATTAGTGTAATATTTATTTTTAAAAATGTAATAGCTAAACATAACATAATAATTTCGAAGCTCCCTCTAGCTATTGGGGAGGAGGGCTCCCGACCCCGACCTTGAAAACTAAACGGTGTTAAAACCCAACCCGCCCCCACCCCGAACCTGATAACATTGTAAAGATATCCCGTACGGAAACAGGTGGGGTCAGGTTCTCACATGATTTTTTGATATTTTTATCATGTCCCTTGTCCGGTTTATCCGTCTCATATGTAACTCTCATATGTTAGTCGATCCTTACTAATCTACACAAAGCGTTTCTCTCTTCAAAATATGGCCTTTACAAGTTGTAAATCATTCAACTTTTACTACCAATCATTTTACTAGAAGGGTTCTATTGTAGATATTTTTGAACAACAGAATCCATTCCAATTTTAGAAGAATATATATATATATATATATATATATATATATATATATATATATATATATATATATAGAGAGAGAGAGAGAGAGAGAGATAGAGAGAGACAGAGAGAACAAACCAACAAACCAAATAGCTGTTGCAAAATCATATCGTGAATCGATTGTTTTTATTTGATAAATTTCTTTCGTTCCTTACAATTAAGGGAAAGAACCAACAAGTAATTATTAAATCAATATTCGATTACAGAGATTGGGAACTTATTAATTTGAAGTAAAAAATTAAAAAAAAATCTTATGCATTTAAATGATGCAATTTTTTTATTATTATTTAGAAAAAACCATCAAGAGAGACAATGGTCTCTTTTTTTGTTGATTAGCACACCGACACACACACATTGATTGTGTATGTGTGCGTCCTGTTTTTGGATCGAGCATACAAAAAGAACGCAACCTCATGTGCTGAATGATTTATGTCATAGCTATAAGATGCCTTATATGCTTTAGGATGCTACTAGCCGTTTACCCGCGCTAAGCGACGGGTGCAAATAAAATTTCTCAGAAATTAGTTGTAGAGTCAGTAAGAATAAAAATGAAGTGTTTTGCTTGTTTACAAATGTGTATGAACACATGATTGATTGTATATTGTTAGTCGTGCAACATTTTTATACAACACATTTGATGTATAAACTTCATTGTCGTTGAATTGTTCGTTAGACTTCACGAATATTTTTTATTGATACGTGATATCCTTATGGATAAAGTTGGAGATGCGAATAGTTAGTTTTGGAAATTATTTTCATTCAGAAACACGTTATATTTCAAGGAACATAAGTTACTTTTCGACGAATCGTTTCTTTTCGCTATTTATTTGTCATACGGAAATGTCCATTTTTATTTGTTGTTTTGAATTAAAAATAGAAGCATGTTGATGTTTTTTGTTTAAAAAAGAAAATGTTGTTATGGATTAAAAATAAATGTACATTGTTATTTTTTATAAAAATGTACATTGTTGATTACAAATCCGATTAAATCTTCGTTTTTTTCAGTATAATTATGATTTAATTTGTTGTTTTGTCACAATAACGGATAAATGACACTTAGGTGGAGACCATTAATAGGTCTAGGTCTAGGTGGTGGACTGAGGTCAAGTGACTAATCGATGTCCAAGGGAACTACCATCAATAAAGGTTTGTACATAATTTCTTACAATTAGACGATAAAAATAGAAAATATAAGTAAGATGCTAAAATAAACAATTTCATAATTTGTAGTTAATTTGGATATAAACAAATGTCGTTTTGGTTAAATAGAAACGTACGGAACTATTTTGGGTTAAAAAAATATATTGTTATTTTGTGTAACAATAGTCATTTTCAAATAATATTGATAAAAAAATGTCAATTTCGTAACAATTGTCATTTTCCAAAAATATTTATTGGACTAAAATATAAAAGTATTAGTTTAAACTTTAAATAGATATTTATTTATATTTTAATATTAATCTTATTGTTTAGGTAGTTTTGAATAAATCATTTAAAACGATTATCATTATTATGAAATATGATATTGGAATTTGTCAAGTTTGAAATGAATTTATTAGTTTGTTAAAAAATGATTTGTCTTTATCAAAAAAGATATGCTATTATCTTATTGAATTGGAGTTTGATTTAACGAAAATCTATTTTTTTTATCCGAAATTGTTTATCAATGAAAGTAGTAGGATGGTAACTGGTACGTGTTTTATGAAGATTTTTGTTTTACCTTGCTCAATATGGGCAGTTTGGGGATTTTACATTTTCTATCATTGGTTTCG